GGTCTCTTTGCAATTAGTTGATATAAAGGGACATGTTGTCAATTAACCCATTAATCTATACTACTTATAAAAAGAATACCAATATCAAAACTTTTGATTTCCTTATTTACCCTCTCCATTTTTTATAACTCACAATTATACCATTATTTATAAAATTAATGATCCATAACCTCTCACTAACTATGCACCTCTTCATTTTTTCAAAATATTTGGTCATTCACTAGAATATACTAATAACTTATAATGCTAATAAGATTCATAAATATTTATAATTTACTATAAAGAATTATTAATTATATAAAGTAATAAAATTATTTATTTAATAAATTATTGTATATAATTAAAATTATTAATTATAGTATAAATAGGGACAAAATTCTTTATGTTGTAAACAATATTACCTTGTTCAATAGTTAATATCATCTTAGTAATAAAAATTTGGAAGTTAAAAATGATAAATACTTTTATTTAGAAAAATTCCTTTATATAAAAATATTAGATCCTTGAAATTTATGAGACATATACTTTTCTCTTCATTTTTCCAAAATGTATTTAGTGATTCTCTAGAATATATTAATAATTTATAATGATAATAAAATTCACAAAAATATTACAATTTATTATAAAGAATTATTAATTGTATTGAAATAGTAAAATTATTTATTTAATAAATTATTTTACATATTTAATAATTATTAATAATATATAAATAGGGAAAATTGGACATTATAATATTATAAGAAATATTACCTTGTTTGATGTTATAATAACGTCTTAGTTATAAAAATTGAATGTTATAAATTAAAAATACTTTTTAGGAAAATTATTTAATATAAAAATATCGGATACTTGAAATTTATGAAACATGCACTTTTTGTTGAAAAGTAAATGTCTCATAATTTCAAGGATCTAATATATTTATATAAAGTGTTTCCTAAATAAATTTAATTTATAACGTCGAGTTTTTTTATTACTAAGACGATGTTAATTATCGGACAATGTAATATTCTTCACAACATAAACTCATATAATATTAAGAATTATTGCCCTTATTTAATTAATTAATGTTGTAATAAAATATCTACATAGCATTTATATTTAATGATATAAATTACTTAATTATTTCTATAGTGTTACCTAAACTAATGATTGCATTGTTACTTAATAATTATACTCTTAAATAAAATGTTTAAAAACAAAATAATAAGCAAATTTAAAGAACTATTAAATGTATGTTAATAATAGTATAAGTACTGATAATAGTATAACTTAATTTCTTTAATGATAGCGTAATAAAATAACTTTATAAATTATTTATGTATAACTTATTAGATACTATAATATTAGATATAAAAATATGTATTTTTGAATGTGCATTATACTAGTTAATAAAAAGGATGTGCATCACGTATTTTTTTTGTAAATTCAAGTTGCAGCCTTGCAAGCTAACTTATACTAATAATGGATAGTGAAACACGAGTTAGCTAATAAACATGATGGCACACTTGATATTGAATATGTTTTAGTTTAATTTTTATGGGATTGGATTACTTTTGTAAATGGGATTAAATTAGTTTTGTAAAACACAAAAAACGTTTTGAAATAATATGCAACCTAAAAAACGTTAACAAAGTTATTAGTCACTGCGTTCTCCTTATCTCTCGCAATTAGATGGTCTTAATTGCTCTCTTAGTCACTCTATTCAAAGAAACCATACTGAACCCACCACGGATGATCTGGACGGTTCTGAGGTTCTAATATGATTTTCACGATATTAGGTTCGACCACGAGTTGGGTTATTGAGTTACTTTCGGAGGAAAAAACAAAAAATCAAACTCAAGACAATCTATTCCAAGGGCCAAGTTGCAGTAGTAAATGCGTCTTTGGCAAACTAAGTCCAACCTATTAATTTACATAATCTAATCAAATGTTGGACTTTTACTTAAAACATCATTTCTAGACTTCGCCACCAACCAAGAATTGAAAGCTTCATTTGGTCAAACAAAAGTACCACCAAAGCTTGTACTCTATATAGTATATTAGCCGCTTTACCAAAAATAGAGCCATCTTCACCGAGTTGGGCCGCGGTGGGCCAAAATCTGCGGATGTTTGCTGTGTGCTGATAAATGCGGCCGCACGTCACATTGATTATGGGCGTCCTCCACGATTTCGTTAAGATTGCGTGAAAGGGACAGAAATTATTATTTTTTTGTTCTACTTTCTTTGCCACGGACTGTAACCCAACCTGAAGGTGGGTCCCAACTTCTGTCGGGTCTTGGTTATGGGTGCGGCTGCTTATAGCGTTATTTCGTGCTTTACAGCCTGACGGCATGACTACGTGGCCTTGTACTACAATGCCTTGTACTGCATTAAACCTCTCAGAAAAATCCTAATTTGGATGACTTTGCTCTCTACACAGTCTACTCAACAACTCTAGACTTGGAATTATGATGAAATTCAAAATGAACCCCAATGCTCAAAGGTTCTATATTTCAAATACGGAAGACTTTAAAACTTTTATTTGAGTTGGAGCCTCTTGGGATCAAAATAGTAAAGATTCTATCAGAGCAATTCGTAGAATACTTCTTAATAAAGAAACTTCTAGAGTCTATAACAAACCGGATAAGCTCAACATTCGTTATAACTAATGAAAATATAATAAATAAAATAATAACCCTACGCGATAATAACAACTCTAGTCTCGGAACCTTCTCTCTTCTTGCGCTCCAAGCCTCCGCTGTCAAGCCTCCGCTGTCAAACACTGAAAAGCCCAATAAGCCCACACCTATAAAACGCCCATTCCTTCAGCGAGTCCCTCTCATCGCCTTCAAACTCAAATTTCTTATTACCTCCAAATATTATTTTCTCTCTCTCTCTCTCTCTCTCTCTCTCTCCTCTTTCTTCTATACATTCCAAATCCAAAATCGGGAATCTCTGAGCGACGATAATAATGTGTGGAGGAGCCATAATTTCCGACTTCATTCCGCCGCGCCGGAACTCCAAGTATTCGATATCCGCATCCGATATCTGGCCTGATTCTGCCTTCGCTTGCCACCCGAACCCGCCTAAAGGTGAACTAATTGCTTATGCCTCCTCCCATTATGTTTTATTTTTCACCTACCATCTCAATGCGTTTTTACAGTGGGGAAGGGGTATCATTTCTCCTACAGTAACACTAAATTGCAAATAGGTCCTTGAAATTCTATTTATGCAATAAATGAATTTTTTATTATTATTTAAGATCGTTAATAAGATGTTTGAGGAGTCGGATAGAATCTCTATAGCTCTATTGAGCATCCAACTGCTAAATTTCTTTTGACGAAAGGAGGTGTACTCCCACTTGCACCGATACTATAGGGGGTTTATTTGCACAAACAGAACTACTTGTAGGGTCTATTCCCAATTAACCCAATCCTGATTTTGGAACATTTTAGTTTTGCTGCAAGAAGGAAGTGAAGCAAATGTTACAATATAAAAACGTTTATAACGTGTCTATTTACATTTTTTTAACCAAAAGCGGTAACATTTGTTACAATCAAAGTAGTTGCAATATAAAAGTAATGATATTTTCCTGCAAATTTTGACTTCGCTACCATTCCAGATTTTACAGCGTTTGAAGTTCATTTTGTTCTTCTCGATGAAATTAAATCAATCTCTCTTTAGCTGCTATCTATAAATATGAATAAAAGAGGTACTAAAATGCGAAAGATAGAGATTCTTATCGGATCCCTAACGGACCTTTGTACTCGCAGCGAAACCGAAGCGAGAGCGCAAGAATCTCTACCGCGGGATCCGCCGTCGCCCCTGGGGCAAATGGGCGGCGGAGATCCGAGACCCGACAAAGGGAGTTAGGGTTTGGCTCGCACTTCAGCCACCGCAGGGACGCGCCCGCGCCTACGATCGCGAAGCTCGCCGGATCCGCGGCCGCAAGGCCAAGGTCAACTTCCCCAACGAGGGACTTCCGCCTTCTCTGCGACGGCTCCGCCACAGGAGAGATCCGCTCCGGCTCCGCCGCCGCCGGCGGAGGTGAAGGCGGAGGTTGATGAGGTTAGGAGGCTGAAGGAGGAGCTGATGGCGTACGAGAATTATATGGAGTTGTTTGGGTTACGGAGTTTGGCGGGCAGGCTGCGGGCGGCCGGCGCGGTCTTGACGGTGGCGGCGGAGGAGGGAGGGGAGCAGGGGCTGTGGAGCTTTGATGATTTGATGCCGGTGGTGTTTTAGGGCTTGAAATTTGCGAATATTTTTATGCGGGGTGTTGTAATTTATGTGCTTGTTTTGGGCTTAATAGTTATATATGTCAGTTTGTTAGGGTTTGATTTGTAATTTGAGCATCAGTTTTGGTGTAAATGTAACGTCTCGTTTTTCTTATTTCCTGTAACAATCTGTTAAGTAAATGAATCTAATTTCAATTGTTTATATCCAAGTATTTCCCCAGTAATTTGTTAGCTAGTAATTTCAATTGAGTCTCCATTATCTGCTCGCTGTCAAATAATGCAATTGAATGGGATAGGTACTCAATTCAAAAATTTTCAACAGAAATTCGGATTTAAATAAAAAAAATTGCTTTGGTATTATTTGATCTTCTAGCTGAAATGTGTCATTTGACTTGTTTTTACGATTTATGAATTATATAATTATTTTATTAAAGAGATATTTACATTTGATTAAGAATTCATCCGATACTTCACCGGAATTTTTTTTTTTATCTAATGCTATTTAAATTTATATCAACGATATAATAAAACTATAATCTGATATTTGGTAAAATATTAATTCAAGACTAAATAAATATTGAGACTGTTTCTTGTAATAAAATTTGTATTTTATTTAAAAATCTAGAATAAGGAGAACTAATGCCTACCATCATACATGCATAACTGTGTAGGATGTAAAGAATGCTCAAGAAAACATCCACTCAAACACAGTGATCTTCTATCTACATGACTGCATCTTAAGGCCATGATGCAGCCCTCAAAAATTATCATCAGAAACATCTTGAATGCAATCAAAATAACATGCAAATGATTTAGCAAACTCTGTACTGTCTCAATCAAGGACTCCAACTCCTTCACTTCAACACTATTGCCCAATATAATATTAATATTACACTATGCACAACTGAAGAATCATATAAATTCCTCACTCAAGGCATGATGCACTGTTTATACAATAGATCTTTACCATCAGCAGGAGAATACCTACTAGCAATCCCTCTTTCATCCGTCGCTTCTGCTGGCGCTAGAACGTCGTCAGCATTCCAATACCAAGGATTCAAATGGGGAGCCGTCGAAGGAGAAGGAATCATTACAGAGCCCCAATCTCTGAGGCCGGACTTGACTTCTCTCATTCTCCTCCGAACGAGCAAGCCAGCCACATCGTCCCTCGTGACTTCAGATATTGTGCGTGCAATGGCCGTGCATAAGAGTAGCATGAACACGGCGTCCTCTTCTGGCAGGAACTCGACTGCGAGCAGCTTCCAGTTGAGGAGAGCAGTGGCTTTTCCTTCTTGGCGTGCAGGAGAGTATCGGATGAGTGTGATGTAATGATTTTCGTCTTCCATAGTTGTCTTGGATGAACCTTCGGCCTTTGGTTGGTACTGTAATTGTCTTCCTCTCAGCAATTTTGCCTATATGAGACGTGTCACATATTAGCGTAATCACACCAATAGACCTATATCTTTTGTTGAGTTAAGCTTTAGTATACCATTTGGATGTATAGAAAAGAGGCCAAATATCTTTAAACACAAGTCATCAACAAAGAGAGAAAAAAGAAACAATTGTCTGCTTTTTCGGTTATATTAATATTCTGTCAAAAATGTTAAATTGATAAGGGTATCTTAGAGGAAAATCTTAGACATTTTAATATTACCGCCTAAATATTCATAATTGCTAACTTAACCTCCAAATCATTGAGAAATCGTTCTCACTAACGTTAGCTTTATTTAGGACAACATTGAGAGTATTAAAGAAGTTCAGGATTAGATATCAATCATACTGTTTCAGCAGAATTCTCATTTTCAAGCTGAAAGTCTGGTCCATTTTCCCATTGTATCTTTAGGGCATCTCCTGTTGATAGGCACCAAACAAATTTCTCTTGGTGTCCGGAGGATTCCCTCTTAGGTGTCGCGGTTCCGACGACCTTCTCTACAATCACAGGGGATTACCACCATCAATTAGGAGGGATATAACTATACAAGACATTATGTTCACAGTCAAATAGAAGTACTTCGATAAATGGAAACGAGATAAAACTGAAATGTATGATGTAACCTCCGTTACTAAAATAAATCCTTACCAGGAGCATAACCAACAGAACTGGCAACATATGACCAAGGGCCTTCTCGTACTTCTATAATTCTATCCTCCCATTTCACTGCCAATGGATTTTCAGCCCCTCTCCTCCAAATTCCTCTACCTACTCTACACATATCATCAAAATTTGGTTAAACACATACTTTTTGTGTTTCTATATTTTATTTAGAACACTAATCTTATCTAATAAATCACTTCTTCTCAGGATAATAACTTCAGAACATGCCCCAATTTCTAAGGTTTGTATAGATAGAGAACCAAAATGAAAATATGAAGGCTCAAAGGTGTAAGCAAGCTAAAAGAGATTTCACTGATCTTCAAAGAAATTCACGATGTAAATCACATAATAAGACGAGCACTGGAAAGGAGCTTACCGTATTCGAACCACAAAGCATTCCTTTCCACCACGATCAAGGACAGTCCGAGTTAACCAACGACCCTCTTGAGGTCGATATCTGTTCATCCGAAGGATCACATCCGAAATCATAGCACCGCTGTCATCAGTCACTCTATCCGGAACACACTTCAGTAAGTACGGGGCCTGAACAGGAGGCGTAATTGACGCCATTGCTCTCAAATTCATCCGCACTTCTTTAGTTAGGGTAAAAGAAGTGGAGCGTAACAAGTCATTCCATGAGAAGGATACAGTGTCCAGCAGTTTGCTGTTTCTAAAACAGCTGCTTACATGTTCTCGAATATCGATCAGAATGCCTCTTGTACCAAATTCACAGTATAGATGCCAAGCCTTTCTCCAAGATTCAGAGGAGAGGTTACAGACAGGTTTATCAAGTTTTAGTAATTTATGGCATCTTGCAGTTCTCAGCCGAAGCAGTCTCTTGCTTCCACTCTTCAGTTCTCTTTCTTCTAAGCTTCCCTTGAAGAATATACAAACCTGCAATATGGAATTGTTACAGAGGAATAAGAATCTTATGAGAACCATCCCCAGAGAAGTACAGTGGTTTGCACCGTAAAATGAGCAGCTAAAATTCCCTAACTAATCCTCAACCCACCCAATTGTATACAGGTGTTCTGAAAAAATTCTCTGCTCGTTACAGAGGGTCATTAACTGTAAAGCTAAATGAGAGAGGCTAAATTTGGTTTTGTCAAGATCAAATTGGACATGAACTTTGACATTAGAATGGAGTCTTTGATCGATAAGATGTGTTTCTTTCCATAATTTTTGGCAACTTGGAAAGTGTGAAAACGACGAAAGAATTAAGAAAAACGTGAAGAATAAGCAAGACAGGCTCCACCACACCCTGGTGGGAGCTACACCCTGGTGGTGTCTGCCACACCCTGGTGTGGCAAGACAGACCCTGGTGTGGCAAGACAGGCTCCACCACACCCTGGTGGTGTCTGCCACACCCTGGTGTGGCAGAATCTGCCCTATTTTTTAGGGGTGTGGTGTATGCCACACCAGGGTGTGGCAGACTCGTTTTTAGAATCCCAATCTGTTTGGGATTGTGTTTTGTTATAAATAGAATCATGTTTTTTAGGGTTTCTTAAGCAGAGAATTAGCAGTCTTTTGAGCATTTTGAGAGAAAGATATTGTGAGGGAGTTGAGAGCTTCGGTTAGGGTTATATTTGAGTGATTTTGTGAGTTGTAACACGTTGTATTTCTCCTCCATATAGTGAAATCTTCTCATCCTCTCCCCATAGACGTAGGCAATTGCCGAACCACGTAAATTCCTGTGTTTGGTTTGATTCGTGTCGTAATTTTTTAAATTACACCCGTGTTTGGTTTTGGTTTTCTTCTCTCATCGCTCACCGACTCGTTTGGTTGTCGAGCACGCTTCCGCACGACGCGTAACAATTGGTATCAGAGCTCAGATTTAAGATCTAAGGTTTTGGCATTGGGTGGAGGAAGATTAATTGTGGAAGCTTGGTTCTTGGAGTTCTAAGCTTCGGTGGAGATAGCGTTGCAGAGTTGCCGTTGGGATCTCGCTTTCCTTGTGTGGTTAGGAGATCTATTTGGAATCTAATCTAGGGTTCAGTTGGGTAATTTCCCAATCCTATCAAAGTTTAAATTTTTCTCTATAATTTGGAGTTTGTGAGTATGAGTGAAGAAGTTGGTGAAAACAACAAGATGGCAGGTACAGTTCAAGTTGATTTTCAGAACACTGAAATTAGTGTGGTTAAATATGACGGTAAAATTAATTTTGGTTTGTGGATGAGCGACGTACAGGATGCGCTCAATGCTCAAAATATGGTCCATGAAAGACCATCAAAATACGAGGAGGCGATATGAAAAAAAATGAATAGGAACGCTTGTGGGGTGATCAGGTCCTGTTTGGAACAAGAGCAGAAGTATGATGTGATTGGGGTGACGTCTGTAATGAAGATGTAGGAGATTCTCAATAATAAGTATCTTACGAAGAGTGTTGAGAACCGATCGTATTTGCTGCGTAGATTATTCAGATTTCAGATATCCAGGGGAACCTCACTAGCAGTTAATGTGAACAACTACACTAAGTTATTGTCGGACTTGGTAAATATTAATGAGAAGATATCGGATGAATATAAGACGATTATTTTGTTGGGCTCCCTACCGGATGAGGAGTATGATACCTTTGTACTTTGTTGAATGAGAGATCTTCTATCAGTTATAGTGAAATAACTAACATTTTGACGAACTATGATTTGAGAAGAAAGGAAGAAGACTTCCCACACTAGTACTTCAAGAGAGGTCTTGTCGACGAGAGGTAAAAGCTCATATCCGAGAGGTGGTAATAGGAACAGGTCAAAGTCTAGAAGCGATCACCAGTTAGCTAAAAACCAGTGTGCATTCTGCAAGGAGCAGAGACATTGGTGTTTGGGGGAAAATTTGTAGTAAAAAGAAGAATTGAAAGAAATATATTTGATTTGTATTCTCTCGATCTCAATTATAATTTGGATTTTCTGATTACAAAAGAGAGGAGAATTGATCTGAATTCTCCCCTTTGTTTAATTCTGGGTTCTTCACGGTAACAATGGAGTACCTCCCTCGAATGCTTACGTCGAGTTTACTCTCCGTTGACGATCCGAACGTCTTGTGTCACTGGAACGTGGTCTCTCCTCACGATTTGACGTTATGGAGAACTTACAAAACAAGTTTGAAACTCTGAACGAGTTGATAACTCAGAGCGAGTTTGAAACTCTATGAAAGAGTTGATTTAACCAAAATGGGTTTGTAAGCCAAGGGAATGCTCCAAGAACTTTGTTGCTGCCGGAAGCTCGAAGAGGATCTGCTGCCGAGAAGATGATCCGAAGAAGCCGATCTCTAGATCTCCAAGATACTCCAAGATCCAAAGCCCCGAACTCAATTGAGTTTTTCGCTATTTATAGGAGGATTAAGGGGTACACCGCCCCCCTTAATTCGTTCCTAAGTGGGACTGAATGGGATGTAACTGCCCCCTTAAACAGCTCCCCAAATCGTGAGGAAAACGGTTTTGAAACCGTTCAGTTCATGTTTTGAACGAGTCAAACGTCCAAGTTGACGTTTAGGACCCTAACTCCGCGTTTTAGACTGTCGGAGTTGGGCACTCGCTGGATGTTGAAAAACACAAGGGTCGTCCGCATTTTGTTTGCTGAGGGTTGAAAACGCGGGGGTCGTCTGCATTTCAAGAACTGAAACGCGAAGGTGAATTCCGAGTTTAGAAGGGGCTAGTGACTTATAACCTCTTCCGTAGAGCGTTGTAAAGATCATTATTGAGTGATCCTCGTCTTGGCTGTTTGAAAATATGAAAGTCGTCAGATTGTAACTCCCGATGTTAATTGTAAGGGCTGTTGATTAGAGCTTTCATCAGTTATTTGTGAAGATTATTATATTATAACATTCATCGATCTACGTGAAAGTCTTCAAATTGTAGCCTTCTGAAAACCGTCGAATTGTAACTTCCATCATCGATGTTTGATGAGGATTGGTTATCTGTTGTGATTTTTAGACAGCCAACAATTGAAAGAGAGACTGTCCAAAGATCAAGGAGAAGGAGAATAGCAAGAAAAAGGACCCGAAGACCAATAAGGTGAATATTACGAAAAACGGTGATTCCAGCTTTTCTCTATTGATTACTCCAGAGGTGAACCATATGGATGCATCAGATTGGATGTTTGATTCTGATGCTACTTATCATGTGACTCTCATGCGAGATTGGTTTACATCATTTGAGAGACTCAATAAGGGTGTTGTTGTCATGGGAAAAATAATCAATCATGTGGCATTTGTGGGATAGGTACCGTGAGGATTCGGATGCACGATGGAGTAGTTCGTGAATTGAAAGATGTGAGATTTGTTACTCAGCTAAAGAAGAATCTTATTTCTGTTGGAGTTTTGGAGGCAAAAGGATTCAAGGTGATCTTTAAAGACGATGTAGCAAAGATTACTAAGGGATCTTTGGTGGTAATGAAGGGAGTCCGCAGTCAAAACTTGTATTATCTGAAGGGGAGCACCGAGATTGGCTAGGTAGTTTTAGCTATTTCAGAGGCGGACATAAGTAAACTTTGGCACTACAGGTTGGGACACACAGGAGAGAAGTCACTATAAGCGCTGTGCAAACAAAGACTATTGAAGGAAGCTAAGAGTGAAAAGGTTGAGTTCTGTGAGCACCGTGTTCTTGACAAGAAGACAAATGTGAAGTTCGGGACAGCTATTCATAGGACTGGTATCCTAGATTATGTGCACACAGATGTTTAGGGTCCCATCAAGACTGTATCACTTGGTGTCACGTTCGTTGATGACTATTCTAGACGTTGTTGCATGTACACCATGGCGAAGAAGAGTGAAGTCCTAAATATATTTGTGGAGTGAAAGAAAATATTGGAACTACAGACTGAGAGAAAGATCAAGACATTATGATCCGACAACGGTGGTGAGTACATATCAGACCCCTTTCAGCAGCTATGTCGAGACGAGAGCATAAAGAGACACTTCACAGTTAGTCATACACCGTAGCAGAATAGGATGGCAGAGAGGTTAAATCGGTCTTTACTGGAGAAGATCTGATATTTATTGGCGTATAGTGGTTTGGAGAAGATCTTTTGGGCTGAGACACTTTCTATGCGAGCCACCTCATTAAAAAGTTGTCTTCATCTGCGATTGAGGGGAAGACCCCTATGGAGATGTGATCGGGAGAGCCAACACACGACTATGACTAGCTTAAGGTATTTGGATGCCCTGCATACTATCATCTTAAGACTAATAAGTTAGAATCTCGAGCTAGGAAGACCATATTTATAGGATTCAAACGTGATGTCAATAGATACAAACTATGAGATCCAGTTGATAGGAAGATTATGCTGAGTAGAGACGTCACTTTTGATGAGGCTTCGGATTTGAAGCTTTCCAGCTCTCATCAGGTGGAGAGCACCCCGACGGAGGAGATATCGCAGGTGGTAGAGATCGATGCAGCTCCATATTGTTCAGATGGTATAATATCCATTAGAGTGCCGACTGAAGTGATGCCAGGCAAGCACGGCGACGATGAGGATACGGGTACAGATGTGCACGATCAGGGACCGACGGCTCAGGTAATATACGGATGTCAGCACGGTATACCGACACAGTAGTTGTATATGCACTTCCGGTGGAGAGTATCGATGAATTAGTACCTACTACTTTCAGAGAGGCCGAGCAAAGTTCGGAGGCTGATTCGTGATAGGTAACTATGCAGGAGGAGATGGACTCTCTTCATAAGAGCGATACATGGGAGCTTGTTGAGCTTCTAAAAGGGCGAAAGACGATTGGTTGCAAGTGGGTATACACGAAGAAGGAGGGCATTGAAGGCACTCCAGTGAGGTTCAAGACTAGGTTAGTTGCAAAAGGCTATGCACAGAAGGAATGTATTGATTATAATGCGGTTTTCTCTCCGGTAGTAAAGCACTCTTCGATTCCGATTTTGCTAGCTTTGGTGGCACAATATGGTTTGGAGTTAGATCAGTTGGATGTGAAGACGATATTTCTGATTTTGCTAGCTTTGGTGGCACAATATGGTTTGGAGTTAGATCAGTTGGATGTGAAGACGATATTTCTTCATGGTGATCTTGATAGTGGCACAATATGGTTTGGAGTTAGATCAGTTGGATGTGAAGACGATATTTCTTCATGGTGATCTTGATAAAGAAATATATAAGACTTAGCCATTGGGATTCCGAACTGTAGAGAAGGATAAGTTGGTTTGCAGGTTGAAGAAATCATTATACGGTTTGAAGCAGTCTCCCCGACAGTGGTATAGGCGATTCAATGGATTTATGATCGGTCATTCGTACACTCGGAGCCAGTTTGATCCTTGCGTGTATTTTTGCAAGTTGAAAGGATGTACGTATATTTATTTGTTGCTTTATGTCGATGACATGTTGGTTGCCTCTATTTCCAGGTCTGCTATAGATAAGTTAAAGACACAGCTTTCAAGGGAGTTTGAAATAGAAGGATTTGAGTGAAGCTAAGCGCATTTTAGGGATGGAGATCGATAGAGACAAAAAAAAGAACAGAATTTGTTTAATACAGGTGGTTTATTTAAAAAATGTTCTATAGTGATTTCATATCAGCATGGATACAAAGTCAGTTAGTGTACCTTTGGGAGCCCATTTGAAGCTTTCAGTTGATCTTTCACCGAAAACAGTTGAAGATAGAGAGTTAATGTCGAAGATTCCATATGCGAGCGCGGTTGGGAGCTTGATGTACGCGATGGTATGTACGAGGCCAAATTTATTACAGACGGTGAGCATGTTTTCGAGATAATGCACGATCCAGGAGTGGGTCATTGGGACGCCGTGAGATGGATTTTGAGGTACATTCAAGGTACTCTCAATGTTGGTTTAGTTTTTGAGCAGGACACTAGAGATGGACAGTTGTGCATTGGTTATGTTGATTCAGATTATGCTGGTGATTTGGATAAGCGTCGGTTTACGACGGGGTATGTGTTCACTTTGATCCGTATGTCAGTGTGTTGGAGATGCATCTTACAGTCTATGGTGGCTTTGTCGACGACGGAGGTAGAATATATGGCGATTACATAGGCTGTGAAGGAGGCTATTTGGCTTCGAGGACTGTTAGAGGAAGGCTGTGAAGGAGGTTATTTGGCTTCGAGGACTGTTAGAGGAACTTGATATATCGTAGCGATCCATCACTATTCATTGTGATAGCATAAATGCTATCTATTTGGCGAAGAATCATGTTTTTCATGTGAGGACGAAGCACATTGAAGTTCGTTATCACTTCGTTCGAGATATTCTTGAAGATGACGATGTGGAGATTGTAAAGATCCACACGAATGATAATCTGACGGATATGCTGACTAAGGTGGTTCCGAGCAACAAGTTTGATCATTGTCAAAAATTATTGCACATTCGTGATTGTTGAGGCCGTTGACGGCCATTTGGATGAACTACGGACGACTTGATCCCTTAGGAAAGGAGTACGTAGGCAACCACATTGGTGCAGGCGAGTTTGGAGAAACGATGCATTGGTGCTCATGTTGGTGTCGGCTCAGTTTTAAGAACAATTCGCCAAGGTGGAGAATTGTAAAAACGGCGAAGGAATTGAGAAAAACGTGAAGAATAAGCAAGACAGACTCCACCACACCCTGGTGGTGTCTGCCACACCCTGATGTGGCAACTGACAAGACAGGCTCCACCACACCCTGATGGTGTCTACCACGCCCTGGTGTGACAAAATCTGTCCTGTTTTTCAGAGGTGTGGTGTGTGCCACATCAGGGTGTGGCAGACTCGTTTTTAGAATTCCAATCTGTTTGGGATTGTGTTTTGTTATAAATAGAACCACGTTTTTTAGGGTTTCTTAAGCAGAGAATTAGGAGTCTTTTGAGCACTTTAAAAGGGAGATATTGTAAGGAATTTGAGTGATTTTGTGAGTTGTAACCCGTTGTATTTCTCACCCATATAGTAAAATCTCCTCATCCTCTCCCCGTGAACGTAGGCAATTGTCAAACCACGTAAATTCATGTGTTTGGTTTGATTTGTGTCGTATTTTTGTGAATTGCACTCGTATTTGGTTTTGGTTTTCTTCTCTCATCGCTCGCCGACTCGTTTGGTTGTCGAGCACGCTTCCGCACGACGCGCAACAAAAAGAACTTAGAGGTCAGAAGGATTTTGAAAGAATTGATTATGCATACGCAAAGTGAGAAGCAAGAAGTGCATTATAGTTTCACAAAAATATCATCAGAAATAGCTATAAATAAATGTTTACAGAACATATATAGTTAATCTTTTGACGTAGGCCCCGTCCTGCACCATTGCATTTAGGTTTCAATCAAATGTGTTTAAGGCGTGCAGATTCTGCAGGGCTGTTAGGCCAGTCTTGAGTCCACTTGGCAGTGCAATCACTGAATTTGCTTTCATCTAATAACAGTCAAAGAAAACTAGCCTATCTCTTAGCTCTCAGCCTCTCACCGACTTTTGTCACTTCAAAATCCTCCATTCCTTTACAAAGATCACAAACCATCAACTCACAACACAGTGACTCCAACAGGTAACTAGACAAAAACATCTAAGCATGCGAAAAAGGATAAGATACAAGGACCTTTTGCATATACCTCCAAAACTCCTTCAGCAATTTCTGGTTTTGTCTTGAACATTTGAACCCATAATCACTCCCATCACAAGCAAACAAATCTATTGAAAATGGGTGCCCCTCTTCTTTTATTAGAACATATAATTGGAGAAGGAAAATTGAATTAATACTTTGGAGTAGAGAAAATGTATAGAAAGAAAAGAGTTCTTTATAATTAGTCGATATAGATTTATCATGAGTAGGTGCTTGTATAGTCATTCTTTGAAACTTTAAGCTTCGGGCACATAAACCCTGAATCTAAATTTGGACTTCACGTCATATGAATGTTTAATAGTTACCACGTTTCCCCCAATGAGAGAATTTTTTTTCTCCTCATTTTGAAGGCATGCCTTGAACATGTAACCTCATGACCCAAGAGTGTACTTACCACCCTCCTCAACTAGCGCTTAAGTAAAAATATCATATTGTTCTTCTGAATCCTTGTAACTGCACCAGCGATGCAAGAAGTAATTTTCCCATGAGGGCAGCTTAATATACTTATAACAAGCAAAGGAGGAGCAATTTGAAGGGAATATTACAGGTTAGTGTGAGAAGGGCTTGGTTTGTTTTGTAAGACCGCTATTATGAATAACGGAATATCCACATTTACAATACCCAGTGAAGAAACTTCGAAGGAACTTTAGAACAATGCCACGTTCTAATACTTCGGATGACATCTACCAAGAGAAAGATCTTTACCATGGCCAGTTTGGCAACGCTTACCCGATTATTTTGATGGATGCCAAATAGGAATGCTTCTAACATATTATAATATTATGAGGCTAACCACAGTTAAGAATATTAACAGGAAATTGCATTCCAACCTAAATATAATGAAACATAAGGTTTCATGCATTAACAAAAAAAGAAGAAGAAATTGCAACTCACCTCAAGTAAGAATCTGGGCTGTAAGCCCTTGTACACTCTGTTGACATTGGCATCAGAAGCATCCCAATTGAAGAAAACTCTCGATGGTGAGCTCATGGGATTGAACAAAGCTCCTGATCTCTCATAAGGCTCGTCAAATGCGTCCTCCCAAATTCTTCGTGTTTCTTCTAACTCCTCTTCACTCACTTGATCAGCAAATCCAACTATCTTTTCGTCTAAGTTCCCATATTCATCCAAATCTTTTGCATAACTCAATGGAAAGCTCTGAGACCATTGCGAAAATAAGTTATCTTCACCATATACTAACAAGTTTAGATTTTTTTTTTCCTTCAAAAAAACTTGGATTATAAATTTATATCCACTAAAAGTCTAAAACTTTGTAATTCGGATGATTTATCACTATTGAGGAAGTCTTCGGAACCAGTGGATTCTTCTTTGTTAAAGAGCAAGGGGTTCTCATTTCCACGTACAGAAACACTCAAGAAACTATTTTCTATGATAAAGCGGATTTTAAGCTAAATTACCGACCCAAATTTAAACTGTTTCCTCACAAAAGAAATAGAACTTCATGTAAATTTAAAAAATCAAAACATAAAATCTAGTATACGCTGATAACAAAACTAAGCAAGAATCCAGATTCAATTTCCCGCCAATTATGAAAATAAAAACCTCAAGTTATTTTCTCCCCAAAAGAACAATTCTCGATAAGAAAAATTGAGGGTGATTTCAAAACCCAAACTTTTAACCTGATTTACTTCATGGCTCACTACCTTCTTAAACCAAAATTATTTGCAGTGAATTATTTCAAAACCCAGTATAACATCTTAAACCGCCAACAATTAGACCCAATCTAGCTTCTTTCACTCAAAGAATAGCAAGTTAGGCATCAGTATAACAACTAATCAGAAACTGGGTCTAAAAATAATTCAACATGAACATTTTGGGCCTATAGAGAAAAAAACTAAAAATTTAAAAATTTTACCTTGTGGGTCGACCACATGAGAAGAACATCAGAAGCCGGCACCAATCTCCCACTCTCATCCCCAAATTTCCTCGCCAAATTCAAAAAATCCAAGTACCTGACTCTCGCCGACACTTGATAAACCGTCTCCGATACGAAAACGTCGGCGAAATACGACACCAGGCCCCGATACTTCACCGCCGCCATCGATATCTCCCCATCACCATCTCCGATCTCGTCTCGACCGTCCGTTTCAAGATCGAACGGCTCCGATGGATACCTCGCTTCCCAAATTTCTCTACAGCAGAGGATGGCGTACTCCTCGTTCTCCTCGTCGAAAATGGCCGGCCGATCGATCACCGCCCCGAATCTCAAAGCGCAGTACTCGCGGTACCCAGCCTGAATGCGAATAATTCGGCGAATTATTAAGGGTTAATTTAAGGAAAAACAAGAAACACTAGATAATTTACGAAAAACGAAAGACCGTATCAAAACATGAATTATGCGTTAACTTCTCCTGTTGCTCTGAAGCTTCGGAGTGTTTGCGGATTTTCCGGAGGTCAAGGAAGGGGTTTTTACAAAAAAAAAAACCCCAAAGCTGGATTTGGCAAATTTACCCCTGATTCCGCTGATCGTGGGGTCAAATTTCATTAAAAAAAGAGGGTAATCTCGTCAGTTCCGAGGTTTACCGGATCATGCAAACAGTGGCAGTACCAGATCCAGTTAACGTCAGCAGGCGGCAGAATCATCAACGGAGAGTCGATCAAATCCGCGATCAGAGGCATCCACAGCTTCTCATACCTAAAATAGTAAAAATCAAAACGAAACCAGTTCAATTCCATCTCAGCCGTTGATTAACTAGCAAGCTAAAAGCGCTGGAGATTTTAGACCGTTGGATGGAGCGGCGAGAGGTGGGAAGAGGAGAGCCGGAGAGAGAGCGGGGAGAGGGTGGGAAGAAGAGAGTAAGCGGTGGAACGTGCTGCTTTTGGTCTCATCACGTGACGACGTAGTGCTTTTCTTTTCTTTCCTTTTCTTTTCTCTTCTCTTTTTATTTTCCAGGGAAAAGCTATAACTTGCACGATTCATTTTCAATCCTTCAAGCGGTCTGTGAATCTGTGATCAGTAGGCTCGTAGATGGCATGATTTTATCATTTTGGACTCTCATCTCTCTTTTCCTTGTTGCGTGGAGTACGCCGTTTCATTTTCGTTAGCAACTTGGAATAGTGAGGCGAATTGGCTTAAAATAGGGGTGTTAAATAAGTGGGTTTGGGTATTAAATGGGCGGGCATATTTTGCTCATTTACCTATTTATTGCCCATTTAAGATTTTCTAAATGGGCGGGTTTTTGCCCGCCCATTTAATAAACGGACCGTTCATTTGCTCATTTAACTATAATAGCTATATATATAATACTTTTGGGGTGTTTCTGTAAAATTTTAGGGTTTTTTGTAAACTATAATAGCTATATACAGCTTCCACAAAGTCATCTTACAAAAGAAAAAGATAATCATGCATCATGATCATGTTCCCTCGTATGCAATCAATTATACATGAAATTGGAGGTAACTAAAAAGAGTATACACATCATGATCAAGTTCCCTCGTATGCAATGAAAAAGTTACAACAGTAATGAAGCGTACATCTTGAAACAAGATAGCTGCATCCAGGCTTGAAGAACATCAAGAACTGCAAAAAGTAATGCACATCCAGACTAACATAACCAGATTGAAAACAAACATTTCATAAGACCAACACTGAAAAAGTTAAACCGACATAGACGTAATATTCAAGTCCAAAAAAAACAACTTCCTTCACGGTCAAGCACTCTATTCTTCTACAAGACGGAGATGGGAAGATGGAGAGACATCGACAAGCTCCTCGCTCGACCTAGAAACATAATCTCCCCTGGCATTTCTAATAAGTTTGTGCAATGCACTCTGCAAACTTCTTTTTTCTTCCAGGAGGAGGAGGGATTGGGGTCGGAGGCTCGGGTTCGAGAGGCGGTTGAGGAGGAGGAGGAGGAGGATCGATTGGCGTCATAGGCTTTGGGTTCGAAAGGCACTTGAGGCGACGGAGGAGGAGGCGGAGGAGATTGGGATCGGGATTGAGGCGGAGGAGAAAGAGGAGATTGGGATTGGGTTTTGTTTGTTTTGGTTTTGGGAATACGGGTGGACGGGCAAACAAGCGAATAAACACTGTCCATTTAGTGCCCATTTAGAATAATGTAAAATGAACTCGCCCAATTAGGCCCATTTAATTAAATGGGTGGGCGTTGGGCGGGCCAAATGATGGACGGACCAGGTGGGTAAATGGGTATGAGCCAAAATTAACATCCCTAGCTTAAATAGACAAAAATAGAAAACATCCACAGAAAATAGTCAGATCATGATCCCACTAATAACCAATAAAGACTACAACCAGTCTCTTGAAATCTAAGCGTTTGGCTACCGATGTGTTTTTTCTGTTTCCGTTTTTTTTTTCAAAAAAACAATGAAACTTGTTTGGGAACTAGGATGTTTTTTTAAGTTGCCCCTTTACAAATATGAAAATATCCACGCTTTTCCTAAAACACCTTTTAGGTGTTTTGAGATCCCCGTTTATTTTCCCCAAACCAACGCGATCCCCCTTTTCTCCCCCTCAACCATTCGACACCATCGTCGCCTTCACCGCCTTATCGTCGCCTTCGCCTCCTCGTCGTCACCTTCGTCGCTGCTGCCTCGTCGTCGCCTTCGCCTCCTCGTCGTCGCCTTCACTGTTGCCACCTTCGCTGTTGTAGGCGTCAAAAAATGCTTACAGACATCCAAATACCACTCAAGGCAAAGAGAAGACGATAAACGTCATTCTCTGAGTATCGATTTCGCTTGGTCGATTTCGATTACTAAAGGCTATTATTTCCTTAGCGAAATAGTACCCCCTGACTATTATTTCCTTCGTGAAATAGCACCCGTTATATCGTGTAGATCCGACCGGATCTAGATCGCGCGGTGGTTCACGGATTAACCCCGGCGCAGGTGAAGAACCCACAAAAGCGAGAGACTGCAAAACAGGATCTCGTGATTCGTTCGACAAATAAGGAAAGTTGCACAAAAGCGAGAGACTGCAAAACAGGATCTCGTGATTCGTTCGACAAATAAGGAAAGTTGTAATTTTTTATTTTTTTCTTTGATTTTGTTGTAACCGGATCTTATAAAAAGACCGGATCTTTTGTAATCGAAAAACTATTACTTGAGAGTGCAATGACATCAATGAAAGCAACTTTCACCGCGAACAGAGGGGATCATTCAAAGGAAGCGAAACAACACAGAAGATCAATGTACACACCAACAGGCAGTACATGGCGGCGCGACTGAGGCGTGACAACACTTGGTGCCGCGGCTAAGGCGCGGCAGCTCATAGTGCCGCAGCTATAGCGCGGTAGCATATGGTGCCGCGGCTAAGACGCGGCAGCCTAGGGTGCAGCGACTATTATAGGGGGTGCTATGGTGGTTACAAGGCAGTTATACGATGATTATTTGAAACCCACGTGGCGGCATATCAGAGGTAGAACGTGTGCTGACGTGGACAAGCAGTTAAACCACGAAAAATGTGGTTAAAGGTCGTGGGAGAACAGTTTCAAACACGAAGGAACGTGGGTGTAACTGCCCCTTTAACCGCGGCAGCCCACACTACTGCGCCAATAGCCGCGGTAGTATGGACTAACGCGGCCAAAGAACAGTTGTTTGGTCAGTTATCTCGCCCCCATTTCCACTGTTATGCACTGCTACCCCTATAAATACCTCCCTAGACACGAAATAAAGGACAGAGAGCATATTGGAGCATAGAGCCTTGAGTTTTTGGTGAATTAGAGCAATAGAGAGAGTCTTCCTTCTTCACAAACATCCTCAAGAAGCTTTTGGCGATTCCTAGAGATCTAAGCTTTGACTTGATCTTTAGAAGAGTGAACATCTTACATCGATAAGATATTCGCTTTAAATTCTTACTTCGATAAACGAAGGAAGAATTCCCAAAACCTTCACGATTCAATCAGAATAACGCACCCCCGGCACAGGCAAAGATCCCACACAAGCAGTGATCCAAACAACGATCCTGCGTTTGTTTCTAAAAAGTTGTAATTTTCTTTTTGTTGTGTAAGAGAAGTCTTATAAAAAGACTATTTCTTTTGAATTTGTTGTAATTGAACGAAGATATAATGAATTCCATAACAAAACCAACTTTTGACGAAAACAAGCTGGCGATCACAGTGGGAGCCAACGGTCTCGCTACCGAGACCGTCGTGTCGCAGCCGATCAAGATTCTAGTTGAATCCACGGTCGAATACGAATTTGACCAAACCAAGTTTGAGGAATATCTCCCATCATCCTCTTCAAGATCTTTATTGTCTCGCAAGTACAAGAGGATCCCACTATTGAAGAAGGCTTATACGCCAAAGAAGGCTAAAAGTGAAGACTCTCGCCCAATCGTTGTTGAGGCTGTAGGCGTCAAAAAATACTTACAGACATCCAAATACCACTCAAGGCAAAGAGAAGATGATAAACGCCATTCTCTTAATCAGAGGGGATCATTCAAAGGAAGCGAGACAACACAGAAGAACAATGTACACACCAACAGGCAGTACATGGCGCTTGGTGCCGCGGCTCAGGCGCGGCAGCTCATGATGCCGCGGCTATGGCGCGGCAGTATATGGTGTTGCGGCTGAGGCGCGGCAGCATATAGTGTCGCGGCTGAGACGCGGCAGCCTAGGGTGCAACGGCTATTATAGGGGGTGCTATGGCAGTTATATGATGATTATTTGAAGCCCACGTGGCGGCCTATCAGAGATAGAACGTGTGCTGACGTGGACAAGTAGTTAAACCACGAAAAAGGTGGTTAAAGGTCGTGGGAGAACGGTTTCAAGCACGAGGGAACGTGGGTATAACTGCCCCTTTAGCCGCGGCAGCCCACACTACCGCGCCAATAGCCGCGGCAGTGTTGACTGACGCGGCCAAAGAGCAATTATTTTGTCAGTTTTTACGCCCCCATACACTGCTATCCCTATAAATACCTCCCTAGACACGAAATAAAAGAGAGAGGGCAGATTGGAGCAGAGAAGGCTTGATCTTTTGGTGATTTCAAGGAAGAAAGAGAGAATTTTTACCCTTTGACAAGCATCATTTGGTGATTCCTATAGATCTAAGCTCAGACTTGATCTTTGGAAGAGTGAATATCTTACATCGATAAGATATTCACTTCAAATTCTCACTTCGATAAACGAAGGAAGAATCACTAAACCCCTCACGATTCAATCAGAATCCGTGATTCGGTGGTCCACGGGCTAACGCACCCCTGGCACAGGCAAAGATCCCACGCAAGCAGCGATCCAAACAACGATCCTGCGTTTGTTTCTAAAAAGTTGTAATCTTCCTTTTGTTGTGTAAAAGAAGTCTTATAAAAAGGCTATCTCTTTTGAATTTGTTATAATCGATCGAGGATATAATGAATTCCACAATGAAAACAACTTTTGACGAAAACAAACTGGCGACCACAGTGGGAACCAACGGTCTCGCTGCCGAGACCGTCGTGTCGCAGCCGATCAAGATTCCAGTTGAATCCACGGTCGAATACGAGTTTGACCAAACCAAGTTTGAGAAATATCTCTCATCATCCTCTTCAATATCTTCATTATCTCACAAGTACAAGAGAATCTCATCATTGAAGAAGGCTTATACGCCAAAGAAGGCTAAAAGTGAAGACTCTTGCCCAATCGTTGTTGAGGCCTTGCCTCGCAACATTATCCTGGAAACCCCCAAAGCCGGAAGCTCTGTCCATAATGATTCCACCCTAATTAAGGAGTCGTTCGATCGAAGTTCGTCAACTCTGACGAAGAGGGCTCGTCAGAGGCGACGCCAACGCCGCGCTCGTCAATTGGCTAAGGCCTTGGAACAAACCGATGGAGTTCGTTACTATACGGACTTAGAATCGAGGAAACATCAAGTGGTTCAGTCGCGTCAATGTCAAATCACTCACATCTCAGCAAAACTTACGTCGGAGGAATGTATTCTTGTCAAAAGGGCCCGTTCGACCCTCAAAGAACACATACAGAAGCGTCGTGCAAACGCTATTCGTGTTCGTGTCCTTCGTCAACAAACGCAAGAAGGGAAGAAGAAAATGGTGTCTAAGGAAACACCAGAGAGTCGCAAAGTGTGGATCCCTAAATCCAAATTCGTACAAGAATTGGATCAGCAGGACCCATCTTTCAACCGCGATAGTGTAGACTGCCGCGGCAAATTCATCAACCGCGACAGTTGTAGGCTGTCTAAAAATCACAATAGATAGATGATCCCCCATCAAAACACCGATGATGGAAGTTACAATCTGACGACTTCCAGAAGGCTACAATCTGACGACCTTCACGACAACTGATGAAAGCTCTAATTCAACAGCCTTCACAATCAACATCGGGAGTTACAATCTGACGACTCTCATATTTTCAAGGAGCCAAGACGAAGATTACAAGAGGACGATATGTGCAAAGCTCTATCAAAAGAGACTACAAATTGACGGTCTCTTCATATTAGAATGCAAATATCTCTCAAACCGTGAGGAATTTGGCGAAACGGAGGAAGCGAACCGAAGCCTTTGGCTCGGTTCGGATGGGCCCGTCTCGTCGAGATAGCCGATTTTCATATATAATTCGTCCAATTCCGACGTACGGTTTGAAAGTTATGACCTGTTCTTCGTAGCAAGTTATGTTCTGAAGTCCGTCTGCAAGACTGGACTTCGTCAGAACATTGGACTTAGCCTGAAGCTCGCCAAGCCCGCCTAAGGTTCGCCTCTGCATTACAGAGTCAAAACGCAGAGGTTATCCTCGTGATATAACATCAAAACGCAGAGTTTTCAGGCCAACTGTGCGTTTTCAAGCCAACTGTGCGTTTACAGGCTCAACTGTGCGTTTTCAGCCTGAAACAGGCTAACTGTGCGTTTACAGGCTCAACTATGCGTTTTCAGCCTGAAA